TCTCTCCTGTTTTAGTTTGAAGTACATTTTTGTCCAGAAGTCAGGAAGTATACTGTAGATCATTTAGAGATTATATTATAACTCATTTTCTAAGCTCTTCAGAAATGCAACATAACATATAATAAGTCCGTGATGATGATGATGTTGTTGACAGTGTTTTGAGATAGGCTCTCACTGTATCCCCAGGAGTTCTTAAATGTGTTAACTCCTGTCTCTTCTCCTTGACTGTTGGAATTAGAGCCATGAGGTTTGGTTGGTTGGTTGGTTTGTTTGTGATTTTTTTGTTTGAGATAGGCTTTTGCTGCCTAGCTCAGGCTGTTGTGGAATTTGCTGTTCAAGCCTTATCCTTCTGAGTGTTGAGATTACAGGCATGTGCCACCAATAGCCAGGCCAGTTATTTTTTAATTATATTTATCTATCTGGAGGGTGGAGGTTTGCTACAGCATATGTGTGTAGGTCAGAGGATAACTTGCAAGGAATCAGTTCCACTGTGTGGGTCCTGGGAAGAAAACTCAGTCAGGCTTGGAGGCACTTTTGCTTTAATCATAAAAAGAAAGCTTTTTTTCTTTATCGCATTATTATCTGGCTCTGAAACTAGTTGAATTCTTGTTCCTTACCTTGCAACTAGATGAACCTTGGGCAATTCATTTGGCTATTGTCTGTGAGTTTCCCAGTTACCAGTTTATTTAAGTACTGTAGCCTACGCCACATAACAGATGGCATAGATGGGATAGATAATGTGTAGATATAGTTTTTAATACTCATGAGAGAGTACCATCTTATTTATAATAGATATTTAGGTAGTGTCGTCTACCCCAGTTAACAGAGATGCATAGAAACGGGATAGATAAATATATAGTTCTTGATACTTGTAAGTGAATACCATCTTAATTATAGTGTGTTTTACTTCTTCAGAATTTCTTCATATCAGGACCATTTAAGGTAGACAGCATTGAGGATTCTGAATGAGCTGCTTGGACAGTTATCAAATGAATGCCCTGAATAACTGCAACAAAGGCATTCAGTATGTAGCTAATTTAAAGCCCAGATCTTTTTTCCATTTCAGGTCCCTGAAGTCATGGGTTGCTGGCTCCTGCTCAGAGTGACAACACCCTGTGGATTCTACTGGTACTGGCCCAACCACCACAGAGCCCCACTGGAGCATGGAGCCAGCCTAGAGAGGGTCAGGTAGGAACTGTTTTTTCGCTTTATGGCACGGTTTTGCTGATTGGAAAAAAAAATTAACTTTTATACCCCAGAAGGGTATAAAACATTGATGATTATTTTTGAAAAAAGGGCTTTTCAAAACTGAGCCATATTGGAAAAAATCAGCATTCAACATGTCCTGTGCAAGCAGGCCCTATTTACCGTCAGCCTCCCCGCAATGCTCACAATGGCAGCCAGTGTGGCACTTCTGAGATGGATGCACTGGTTCATGTTAAGCCTTTGTTAATTACCGTAAGTGTTAGAGTCCTAAGGAAAACAGTAGTGAATCTTAGGATTTTAAACTATAATTAAATGAATATATATTCATTAGCTTGAAGATAATTTTACATCATTCTTTTTCAGTCAATAATATAGCTCTGAAAAATAGTTACATGAACTGACTCTTCCCCATATATTATGTAGCTTATAAGGATGAGCTCATTAAAAGAATATTTTACCCTTTTTATAGAGTTAGAAATGAGACTTAAGACAATTGAAATAACTTGCCCAGGGTTACAGTATGAATGAGTGAAAAGCCATTCAAACCCAGGAAATATGGCTGAAGAAGTCTTGTTATATGTTAGATTATAATTTTTTAGTTTTCTACAATTTAAAAAAATTCTGGTGTTAAAGGACTGAAGGGTTTTCTCAGTACCAAACTACAAATTTGGGAGAAATGCACAGTAAATGACTACTATACACATTGAGCTTAGTACTGAATGAACTGTTCGTAACATTTATATCTACCTTTAAAATAGTACCTACCATTTAAAATACTTTAAATGTGTTGACTTACCATATTACTTTTAGTAATGGAGCATATATTCTGATTTTTATTTTGTAATGATGCCTTCTGAAATATTTCACACAAATATGGAGTAGAATATACAAACAGTTGCAGCAGTGAGTTTAAGCTTCTTATATTTTTGTTGTTATTTGTTATTCTGTTAGTTATTGTGTTAATATGTGGAAGTATTTCTGTAACTGGAGTTATAGGCATTTATGAACACTTAGTATTACAAAAGCATATTTGACATATTTATGTTATAGGAAAATAATAATTCTAAAAGGAGTTACCTGTTCCCAAGGTTGTAAATAAAGTAAATGCAAAATCCAAAGAGTCATAAACATTAGCCTTAAAATATGTTGGGCCAGCAAGATGGCTCAGTGGGTAAAGGCCCTAATGCCAAGCTTGACAGCTGGCATTCAGTCTTCAGGACTCACGTGGTGAAGAGAATTGACTCCCACAAGTTGTCTTTTAACTTCCATGTAAGAGCTAGCTGTAACATGTGCACATCCACACACAATAGACAAGCACACAAAATAATAAAAATGTAATTTGAAAAATTTTAAGGATGTAAGAATAACAAGTAATTCTTAGAAATACACAATTGTTACAGGCTAAAACAGTACAGTGAAAGTGTTTTAGTTGATGAAGGGGCTTTATTGTTGATGTAATGGAAGCTTCATTATTTTAAATACTGTAAGACTGAAGCACATTTTGTGGAGGCGATAGCATTGAAGATCTTCATTAGTGTGTTTTTAGTGATACTTTCTAAGTTTTATTGAAAGAACAAGATACATTTTACTTCATGAAGATTTATGCATCCCATAATGTAGAAAACCAATATTTATGAAGTGCATGTCTTAGTGGCCTTACAGATGTCTTGGAGATTTTAATTATTAAAGGAGAACATAGGGAAATATATGATGAATCCAGAGGGATGAACTGTATTTTAAGAAAGACTCTTAAGGAGGGTTTTCCAATGTTTAATTAATTGACTTGTTTTTGTTTTCCTTTGAAAAGTGTAACATTATTTCTAATGACTTAATTGCCTGTTTTTCAAAATAATGCAGGTGGCAATGTTAGAGCTAAAATGAGTCAGTGAGAAATTATTTTAAAGAGAGAAGTATGGTAGATTAAGGAACCAGTAAACACTGCTATTCCCACTTCCCTTTTTGCGTAGTAAAGACCCTTAATCAAATATTATGGTGAAGAGATGATAGGTGAGGATGAATAAAAGCTTCAGACTTTAGAATAGTGTCATGGTTTATCAACTTCTCGGAGCAGACTGCCATGATACGTACTAGAAGATGGAAGACTTGAGGTTAATAGACCTCAGACCACAAATTGAAGTAATTAAATGATGTAAATTTGGTATGAAACCAGGATATATTGGGAAATTTCCCTTACCTATTCAGCTCAGGATGATCTTTACTTTAACATCTGTATGGAAGAAATGAAATGTCATTATGAACATAGCTGGTGCAGTGAGACATGTCTTGCTAACACCGTTCACTAAGAACCAGGGCAGCCAGGCGATTCTTTAATCCCAGCACTGGGGAGGCAGAGGCAGGCGGTTCTTTGTGAGTTCGAGGCCAGCCTGGTCTACAGAGCAAGATCCAGGAAAGGCGCAAAGCTACACAGAGAAACCCTGTCTCAAAAAACCAAAAAAACCAAAAAAAAAAAAAAAAAAAAAAAAAAAACCAAGGCAAAGGATCTTAGAAATTAGGAATTATTTTTACATTTGACGTAAAGCCGTGTTTGTTACCCACACTGTCCCCTTTTGCTGGAGCTCTCCTGGGGCACTAGGGCTTCTCTGTGTTAGGTATCCTTTGTCCACAAATGCTTGGGATCAGGAGCAGCACGTTTGGGGAATATTTGCATATACCTAATAAAGTGTCAAGGGGAAGTACTCAGGGCTAAGCGGGAAATTCATTTGTGCTTTCTGTACATTTGATGCAAACATCAGAGATAATTTTATGCAGTACTTTAGGGAATCTATCTATATTCTGACTGCATTTTCTCATAGGTTAGCGGTGAAATTTTCCACTTGTGTTGTGTCAGCAGCACTAAAACATTTTGGATTTTGTAGCAGTTTCAGTTTTGTTTTTTTTTTTTTTTTTTTTTTTGTAGACAAAGGATGTGTAATTTACATTAACATTTTGTTAAGGTACCATATCCATGGGCTGTCTAAAAATGTGATTATCAGAATTAAGACTTGCTAACACAAGGCAAATACTCTTTCCATTTCAGTCCTTTATTCCAGTGTTTTCTAAAAACTAGAACCCCAGTAATGAAATAAATTCTCACATGAAGACCCTGTGTACCCAAAAGATCAAAATAAAGTTGTACTGTTTGAAGCCAAAGTAGAAAGCACAGACCAGTAAGCTTTCTTCTTGCTTTTCTTTTCCAACCAGGTACCTCTATAAAGAAGCCTAAGCTTTCACAGAGTATAGTTTCATTATGCACAATGTACCATAGAGTTTTTAAAGTTACATGTTTCTTTAAAGGTATTTAACTCATTGACTGTTTTCCCTACAAACCACTTTTTGTTGTTAAACATCCTGACTCCTTCAGCTCATGGTACAGCAAACAGCATCTCCCACTGTCCAGTGAGCATCTCATTTCATGCTTTGAAAGCAGACTGAAAGCCATCTTAAGAGCTGGTGAGGGAACTTCAGAAAGGCAGTTTCTTCTGTTTAGAGGAAATACCCTGTTTCTAATTATCTATCTGGCACCTTATATCTGTGCTAGATGAATTTGTTTAAAGGTATGTGCATGGAAGTAGAGTACTTGTTTTCTCAACTCATTCTCATGATTGCTAAATGCTTGCCTGGAATAACACTTTAAGCACATGGCCCTGCTTACTCACTGCTTGGAAAACACACCACAGTACTTACTTCTCTTCCCCATCCTTATACATTTGTTTCTTAAGCTTAGAGATTATCATGACATTGCTGTGCAGTTTTCTGCTGCTTACTTTTAAGTTGAAATCTCATTTTTGTTTCAGATTCTCCCTCTTCTGTGGTTAACAAACAGCTCGGATCCATGTCACTTGGTGAGCAACAGGGTGGGTGCGTGCGACAGGAGATGCGCTATGCCCAGTCATCCGTAGTTCTGTTGCAATGCAGAGACCAGGTTCTTCCTCACTTGGGCGTAGCATATCATTTGATGACGGCCTGCAGTCAGTCTTTTGTGGACTAAATTGTCTCGGGTGGTATTGTGCACAGAGGGCTCTCGTGGCCTGAACAAATTATGTTCTGTGTAAGCTCGTTTCTGCCTTCAACATTTTACAACAGCTTTGAAGTCTCTCCCTCCAACAGTTTGAAATGACTATAAAATGTTTATTATAGCTATATATCATAAAATCCTATAGAACTGTGGTTTAAGGTTAGCACATTGCCCAATCATTATTCATTTAGAAGTGATTTGAACATAGTAATAGTCCGTATCACTAGGTTGCTATGGTAACGACACTTGGTTTTGTGTTATACTTAACTGGTGGTGAAACTCAAGCTAGGTTGGTTTGTTGTTGTTGTTGTTGTTGTGTTGTTTCGTGTCTTGAGACAAGGTCTTATACGTAGCCCACGTTGGCCTCGAGCTCCAGTGGTTTTGCTTAGCCTTCCTCCTGAGTTCTGGGATTGCAAGCATGCTGCCGCCCCACTCAGCTCCTGTGCCTTTAATCTGAAGCATTATGCTTGCACAGAAAGCTGGGCAATCAGCAAACAGAGCCTCTTACACTTCCACTGGTGCCTTTTTGAAGTAGCAAAGCCTGGAGGAGAGCTAGATGCCATCACAGGTGTATTGGTCAAGCTGTATCACCAGCAGAGCTGATGGAGTGCAGAGAGAATTAGAAAAGGACAGCATTCTGACGCAAAAGAGGTCCATGGAAAGAAGAACGTAGAAAGAAGACTAAGAAGCTGTAGGACTTTCTTGAGAATTAAGGCAGAGAACTTACTATATCAACACAGAATTCTCTAAAGTATTCTAAGCACTTCGTGATATGATAATGTTAGTGGTATTCAGCTGCAAAGAATAACTATTTATGTATTTATATGTGGTACATGTGTCTGTTGGGGTCCATGTCTTGGTACAGTCTTGCACAGTGATCGGAGGATCTTTTCAGGACTCAGTTCTTTCCTTCTACGGCATGGCTTCCAGGGATCGACCTCAGGTCAGGCTTACTGCCGAGCCAGCTCACCAGCTTGACTTCAGTTATCTCAACTGGAAAGGGCTAAGGGGTAGCTGCTAATAGATTCCACAAATTTCTTTTTAAAAATATGAATAAGCATGAAAAATGTAAGACTTGGTAGGCTGAAAGTTAATTTATATATATATAAGAGGACTCACTGGTTGACTGAATGAAGAAATTAGTATTTCTGTAGTATCTGGTATGAAATAGGTCTAATTTTAACTGTCCTAGAGAAATGTTCAAAAACTAAATTTAAAACAAATTAGAAACTCCTGTACTTTCAGTCTTAAATACTTTATTTGTAAATCTTGATGACATGTATTGTTGTTAGGTATTTTGTTTTCTTGTTGTTGTTTTCCTGTTCTTAAAAAATAAAGCTAGGCATGGTATTTCTTGCCTTTAATCCCAGCAGTCAGAAGACTGATGTAGGAGAATTGCCATGAAAATCCGTTTTTTTTTTTTAAATCAAGCAAAATATAATGTAAAAAATGGGGTGGGGGGGGAGAAAAAACAAAGTAAATGAATTTGAGAACTACAAAATTAACCATGTTTTATCTTTGTACAGAGTAATAAAAATGGGATACAATTATAGCATCACATTATATTATACTATAGCCAGATTCATGTTTAGTTAACCGTATAGAATACTTTCTATAGATTTATGTTGAATATTATACCTATTTAGTTGGTACTTCATTTATATATGGCTTTGGGATGTAAGAAAGGGAAGATTCAGTTTAACTCCCACAGTTTTGGCCTCAGTGCCTGGTGAATGATGATGCCATTTAGTGAGGTTGACTAGCCTGGAGAGAGAAATTAGGAGGCTCTTTGTTTGGGTGACCATGTAATATAATTTGCCATATAGTCATATAACCTTAGAGAGGTTGTATGAGGTCAAATATCAGTTGTGTTTGGCAGAAACTACATTGTAAATGTAGTTTTGTGATAAGACCTATGAGCAGAATTGGCCTAACAATGGGAAATGACTTAAGCGCATAGGCTTACCTATGGCAATATGTGCTATCTGAAGATAAATGGTACTTAGAAGTTCAGACAGCCTGCCTGTCACCAGTCTGTCTCTTCTGGCCTAATGTAATAACTTTGTAACTGACTTCCTCGTGTCTGCTTAAGCCACAGTCTGTTCTTTCCTAGCAGAGTGACCCTTTGAAAAGTGTGTATATACTCTATCATTTTCCATCTAAAGTTTCTTTAACCCTTGAAAACTACTAAGTTCACACCGTGTCTTATAAGCTACACATGAACCGGCCGTAATCTCTCTAACCTTACTTTTGGCCATTCTGCTTACGCATTGTGTCCTTGTCAAGTCCCTTCAGTCTCCCGACACTGCTCAGTCACTGTGGTCTTGCCTAGTAGCCTTCAGTCTGCTAACACTGTGCTCACTTGCTGTGTTCTTACTGAGTAGCCTGCCTCCAGTCTGCTAACACTCCGACTCTTTCCTTCTCAGACAGCTTAGACGCACGGTTCCCACTCCCAAACTGCCTTGTTGTTGATGTTAAGCAATTTCTACTTATCCTTTAAGTGTCAATCTCTCAAAAAATGTGACTTTCCAGTATGAAGTATTTCCCCCTTTCCCTCTTTGTGGCTTGGTATTTGCTCTCATTTGATCTGCAATCCTGTATTTGTTCGGAGGATTGTTTTGTATATACCTCTCTCCATATTCTTTATGTGTTGTTTGTATTCATTGTCATATATGTGCAGTGTATGAAGTCATATCATTTTTATTGGTACCAATATTTGGTCAGGTTTTTTTGTGGGGTGGGAGATATGTTTTTGAGACAGGGTCTTTCTTTTAGTCTTGGCTGGCCTGGAACTCTCTATGTAGACCAGACTGGCCTGGAACTTTCAGAGATCAATCCACATGCCTCTGCTTCATGTGCTGGGATTAAAGGTGTGCCAGTATTAATTCTTTAAGTGATCAGAGCTATGGAAATGATTTCAATCTGGAGAATTTAGCATAATAGCCAGACTACATATTGGAAAGTTCATTTGGGCAACATTATAGATGAATAAATGGAAGATAAAGATTGAAGAGAGTCGGACCATACAAGAAATTATTGTAATAATCCAGGTAAGAGACAATGAAGAATCCAGTCTAAGGCAGTTGGAGTGGGAAGTGAGTACATTTTAAAAATCTTTGTGAAGTAGAATGAATGGAACTTGGGTTTGGGGCAGATTGCTTGTCTTATCTAGAAGTATGGATTATTACTACAAAACAATGACAGTAATGGTAGTAATAAGTGGTACTTTGAAACTGTTTAGCCAGTTTCATAATTAAGAAAAAATCATGTCTAGGTATCTTGATAAGATTATAGTAAACCATCAGAAAGAGAGCTTTCAGAAGAAATAGTTATGGGGAAAAGAAGCTATGTAAGATATCTTTTTATTTATTTTTATTTTATTTTATTTGCATGGTGTTTTGCCTCCAGATATGTCTATGTGAGGGTGTCAGATCTTGGAGTTATAGACAATTGTTAGCTGCCATGTGGGTGCTGAGAATTGAACCCGGGTCCTCTGGAAGAGCAGTCAGTGCTATTAACTGCTGAGCCATCTCTCCAGCCCTGTGTAAGATATCTTTTGGTAGTGTGTGTATGTGTGTGGGGAGATATCCTTTAAATGTTGGCTTTGAGGTATCTTAGTCTGTTTTCTCTTGCTATTAAAGAATACTTAAACACTGGTCATGGTGACATATATCTTTAATCCCAGTACCTGGGAAGCAGAGACAGGTGGATCTCAGTGAGTTCTAGACCAGCCAGGTCTGCATAGTGGGACCCTGTCTTTAAAATATATGTATGTGAAAGAGAGGAGGAAGGATAGATAAGGAGAGAGGGGAGGGGGAGGGGAGACTGAATAACATAAGGAAAGAGCTTTTGACTCACAGCTCTGGATGGATCTACTTGACTTTTAGTTAGGGTCACGTTCTCCATGCATTGTAAAGCATGGAGGGACAAGCAGAAGCATATTGAAGACAGATGTCTGGTGGGAAAGCTAGAGAAAGCTAAGAAAACCAAATGTGGTTGGTGACAACTTATTGTACCAGTAGCTTATATGGTCCTTTGAGAAAGAACTCACTCACTCCTGCAAGGTGACATTGCCCACTGGTGAGGACTCTGTATTCATGATCCAAACAACTCCCTATACTGCTCCATAGACTGCATCCAGGCAGTGATGTATGTAATTATTCAAAGAAAAAAATTCATCAGTGAGATGAACTCATTGAGTTGCTAATAACTGAACGTTATTAGCAACCTTTTTATCTTTGGTAGCTACCCCCATAAAGAAATCTAGGCGCTACTGTGAGAAAATAAACAATATAGAAAGCACCTAGTCTCCGGGCCATGGTGGCGCATGCCTTTAGTCCCAGCACTTGGGAGGCAAAGCCAGGTGGATCTCTGTGAGTTTGAGGCCAGCCTGGTCTACATAGCGAGATTCAGGACAGGGACCAAAACTACACAGAGAAACCCTGTCTTGAAAAACAAAAAAAAGAAAGCACCTAGTCACCTAGATGGCAATTAAATACACATCTACAGAATAAGTATCAAACTTTAAAAGAAGCATACTGTTTCTTTACAAATATGAAAAAGAAATAAAATATGTAGTCAGAGATGTGGCTTTGTTGCCCAGGCTGATTGAAGCCTTGTGCTCAGACAATCCTGTTTCAGCCCCTTAGAAAGCTGGGGCTACAGGAGCATATATCCCCCATCCCTGACTTTGTCTCAGTAGTTTCTGTTTCCATTAACCAATATGTTTTCTAAATAAACAGAATGATGGGAAAAAATCAAATAACAGACATTGTTATATGAGAAATACTTTATCATATTTACAAAATTTAGAGTTGTGGACAACTTTATTTAGAATTA